ATTTCCTCTATTGGACTGGCCTGTGGCCAAGTCTGAGGGGCATCTTCCTGATGAGTGATGTGGGAGGGCCCAGCCCACTGTGGGTGGTGCCACCCCTGGGCAGGTGGGCCTGTGTTGCATAAGAAAGCAGGCTGAGCAGGGGCCAGGAGAGCAAGTCAGTAAGCAGTGTTCCTCCATGGCCTGTGCTCCAGCTCCTGCTTCCAGGTTCCTGCCCTGAGTTCCTACCTTGGGCTCCCTGATGAACTGTGACCTGGGAGATGTAAGCTGAATAAACCCTTTCCTCCCCAAGCTGGTATTGGTCAGAGAATTTTGTCATAGCAATGAAGAACAAACTAGAACAGCGTATTATTTATTTATTTTTATTTTGTTTTGCCTGCATTTGTAGGTGCACCTGTATAGTGCAGTGCCCGTGGAGACCAGAAGAGCGTGTCCATGCCTCCCCTACCTCAATGAAGAGGGTATAGAGGCTTCTAGCTCTCACTGGGTTTGGAGATGATTCTGTGCTTTCCCTATGCACACAACAAATGTGTATGTCTTTTTTTTTCTGGTTTTTTTTTTTTCTGGGGGTGGGGGTCTTTGTGGAACAGGGTTTCCCTGTAGCCCTAGGTGGTCTGGAACTCACAGTGTAGACCAGGCTGGCCTTGAAGTCATAGAGAGCCACCTGCCTCTGCCTCCCAAGTGCTGGGACCACAGGTGTGGGCCACCACCCCTTGCTGTCTTTTTTTTTTTTTTTTAATTACTACTGTCAACTTATTCCAGAGATTCAATTATCAAAACTTCCAAAGGAAGAGAAGGACTTTCCTCTCATAAGAATGAGAAAATAAATGAGTAGCTTCTGTGAACTGAGTTCCCTAAAAAAAGCCTCACCTATGTTGATTAGTCTGCATGTTGACTGACTGGTAAGAGCTTCATGATTGTGAAGGGTTGGAATGTTGCAGATGTAGAGCCAATATTATCTTGGATTATCTTCAATCCCCTAAATAGCCACTTACCACTCACCTCTGTATCTTGACTTAATATCCTTTTGACAATTAAGTGAAATCTTTTAAACTTTTAAAATATATATTTTTTAATGTGTATGAGTGTTTTACTTGCATTTATGTAAGTGCACCTGTATTGTGAAGAGGCCAGAAAAGGGTGTTGGATCCCCTGGAACTAGAGTTTAGGAGAGTTGTTAGCCACTATGTGTGTGTTGGTGTGCTGGAAACGAACCCAGGTCTTGAAGAGCAGCCAGTGCTCTTAACCACTGAACCATCCAAATTAAGTAAAAACTTTGAAATGCATTAACTTAGCACACCATTAGCTTCTACCTAGCCCAAAGCTTAAAAATGACTAGACAGCAGCTACAATCCACAGCAGACATTTCTGCTTTGGCAGAGCCTGCATACCTGGTTGTCCCTGCCACTGTATTTTGTAAACACGTTGATTTATGACTTTCTTTTGTTTTATGACTGTAAAAGTTCACCCAGCCTCTTCCGAGGTTGAAGATGTTATTCGGGGCAACCTGAATCCATGTTTCTAGGCCATGCTCACTTGCATTTGGCTTATGATAAACTGAGTCCCTTCAGAGCAGGAGCTTGTGTTTGTGTCGACACTTCCCACTTAAGGTCATTTCTCCTCAAGGAGGGTGATGAGCAGCTTAGCTGCTTGTATCCAAAGTTGATATTCAGAGAAAAGTATTCAGTCCTGTCAAAAGGCTTCGGCCATGGGAATTTACATTGATTTATTGTCTTAAACAGGGAAGTTGCCTCATTCCAGAATTGGAAATTATTCGGGCAATCTAGCCTGGTAGGGTGGCCAGTTTAGAATAATTAGATAATGCTTTTTATAGCAATTGCTATGAGCCAAGAATTTTCTAAGCCCTTTCCACTCCTTTGTATTCTTTCAAGCTGTAGATAAGAAATTCTGCAGATAAGAAATCAAAAGTACAAAGTTTAAGTAACTTCAAATCAGATGGTGTTAAGTATTAAGAGGTAAGATCGAATCTCAGACAGCTGAGTTAATGAGCTCTGCCTCCACACCACATAGCTTTAGGCGACAACAAAGTTCACAACATTTAATTTAGCTTCTATGAGTATATAATGGCCAAGAAAATGAGTAAAGTGCTTTGAACACAAGGGACTGTCTCTAGATTCTTTGGAAACAGCATCATTGAAATGATTAGGTGCTTCAGATATCAAGGTTGCATGAGCACAGTACCCAGCCTCAGAAGCTGTGTGGCTCGTTGAGAACAGTCTCCAGGGTATCTTCTGGAGTCATCCATCCAGGACTCTGTGGAAATGGCAGATGTGAGGGTTGACTTGTGAATTCTCTGTGAAAGGTGCTTGTTCTTCTCTGCTGTGTCCCAGTCTGAGATCTGCCCTCCCATCCCTCCTTCCCCTTCCTGTGGCTTACACACTTTCCCCATGAAGGATAGTAGGACATGCTATTTTGATTGCCATATACTTCTTTTGTTCTCAGTGAGATCAAGATCATCAAGGTGTTGAGGAGGAAGGGTTTCATCTTGAAGGAGGAAGTAATTAAGCAATACCTGAATTATTGGTCAAAGACATAATACTGTATAATAAAATTTACCCAAACTGAATATTATATTACTTTTTGATGGATCATAAAGTTCTGTAAGTGATTCATTATAAATATTATGTGTCATTGAAAATTCAAAAAAGAAATAAATTAGTAGATGTCTCTGGTTGATAGTATGACTAATATTTCAGCTTTTATTCTACTAAAAGGAAGATTGAGTAGAATATCCTATGTGCTTAGAGAAAAGCTAACTCTGGTCTGTATAGCCTATATTCAGATTATTAGTGGTAGTAAAAATTTCTGACATATGAAACTGCTTAGTGGAATGTAATTATAAAAATCCTAATAGCTTAACAGCAATAGTATTAAAATACTTTATTCTATGCAAAAGACTTGAATACATCATTAATCACCTAATGTATACTTAATTTTGTCATAAATCTAAGAGGTCCATGCAATCTGTCCAATCAGAAAATTCTTACCTTACAAAAAGTATATTGAAACAGGTCTACTATACCAAGTTATATTTATATTTTATTTTGTTTAAGACTATAGTATTTGAAAGGACAGGGTTGAACCAGACTCTTGTACATGCTAAGGATGTGTTCTACTACTGAAATACATCCCTATCCCTCACAGTATTTCCTTGAAATCGAAAGAGATTATTTGGTCTCTGATTCTAGAGATCTTCATTTTGTAAACCATGGCATAAATTCCAGATTGCTAGACTTAAAGTAAGAACTCATGACTTAAGATTAAAGAAGCCTGTTAAAGGCATAGAGCACTGGGTCCTTCCATCAGTGAGGAAACAGCCCAGAGAGGTGCTGGGATGCTGTCAGTGAGACACGTGAGCTTGGAGCTCTTCACCTTGGGGCTCAGGGCTTTATATTCTTCAAGATATCTAAATGCTCCTTTGAAAAAGCCAGAGAAAAGGGGATTTATGAAAGGGGGAAAAAAGAAGCTTCAAAAATCCTGTGTCCCAGATGCAATAGCAATTTTCGGCAGCATTCCAAAATAAGAAAACCATTTGTGTTTCATGAAGCACAACCTTTATGAAGAAAGGTCTCCTCTCTGAAAATCTCATCCAAAGAGTTTCAGGCTCCAACCACCACTATCACTTTCTCTGTACAAAATAGTTCAGTTCACAGTCAATTGCTACACAATTTTTTTTTATCCATCAAGGCTCAGTGAAAAGAAGATGAAAAAGAAGATATAAATTCAAGCTTTATGTTCATGGTCTAATGGTCTATTGTTCAACCAACTTTCTATACCTTGAAAACCATCATTAATGTACCATTAAGGATGACATTAGAACTTCTGGCTGTTCTACTAGGTTGTAAGTTGTGTTTCATATAACAAATATTACTTGAGTTCCTTGTCCAATATCTGTTGTCAGTTGTCTGCTACATAGGAGTATAATAATGCAGTATTAAAAAAATTATGTATCCTGATTTGAAAATTTCCTTCTTGAAAATAAAAAATTAGAAAAGGTGCCACAGGAAAATAATGAGATGGATTTTAATTAATGCATATATCAAAGTTCAAAAGGACAGATTCTATTAGGCAAAAATGTAAAGATGTTTCCATCAGCACCATGACTTTCATGGGGGAATATGCGATGCCGTTTTCCGAAAGCTGCTACATCTCCATCCAAGCTGTTGCCTTCAGGAGAGTTTGGGAGCAAAGCCACTCTCATTCGCAAGCAGCATTTGAGGAAGCTTCATAAATATTCCATTGTGATGGGGTAATGCTGGGTTCCAGAACTTTCTACTCAAACTAAGTTCTTACTAGTACTAAATGTTCCTTTCACTAGGAAGCTGTTTAAGGTGTTCCTTCCACAATGACTTCATTTCCCAATTGACAAAAACTTTTCATATGGGAAAGGAGGCGTGAAATTTAGTGCACCACCTCCCTTAACCTTTTGCTATTCACTTTTCCTCAGATCCCCAACTATCTTGGGTTCACATGTGACCTCACTGTAAGAGAGCTATTGGTAGTGAGCGGGACTGATAAAAAGTCTCAGAAGGTCCTTGGCTCTGGCTGAAGCTCCATTCTGCCCTGAGGTCTTCTGCCTACTATAGATTCTTATCTCTCACCCTTTCTCTGACCCAGTAGACTCTTGACCTTGGCTTTTGATCTTCTGTATCCTAACCTGGGTCTCTGTCACACTGGTGTCTTGCTTGTCTGTTACTGTTATTCTCGAAGTTGGTCTGTATTCTTTCTTATTTCCCAATCTTTGCTTCATCCCTCAGGACTGCTATGTCCTGTTGCTACCCAACTCTGCAGAAAAAGATACCTAACCCTTACTTATTGTGCTACCAGATAATGACGTGACTTCAGGCAAGCAGCTGGACTGACCATGGATAACCATGAACTGACCATGGATAACCATCTCCATTATGTCAGGGGGTGTACTGGATCATCTCTAGAGTCTCTTAGACTTCAGATACTCTTTGACCCCCAAACATTTTCCTTGCCTCACTGTACCCACTCATCTTTTATTTGACTTTGTTTCAAGCTAATAGCCTTGAGTACAAGGCACTATGAACTAACTGCAGGCAGGATTCTATCACCCACTTTAAGAAAAACTTGCAAAGACAATAGTATTTTCTCTTTATTTGCATCATATTGTTTACAGACTATGTAAAGCCCACTGGTATGTTCCGAGTCTTGTTTTATGCTTGTGCAGCTGTGATCCCAGCCTTCAAAGGTAGCTCCTCCACATAAGCAGCTGGGAAATGGCCTTTCTTTCCATTTAAAGATCCAAACCACCATCCTTCTTCTTTCTTCTCATGTATAGTCACAATGTCTCCTGTGAGGATTCACATTTAGTTAGACAAATAGGCTTCTGCAACTTGAGCATATGCCGAGTAAAAGTTGGAAAGTGTTAAGAAAATTCTGAGTTCAAGGTGCTACTTGGTAATAACAGAAAAATTTATTGAGCACCTTTGCATGAAGCAGCCATAATCCAGAGAATACTAAAAAGAATGAAATCATGAACTAATGAGTTATGCTATGAGAATTTGCTTAAAAGCAGAATTATGGTAGATCTTGTGCTGCCTAGATTACTCTGTACACAGTGGATATGTTGTCAGCAAACTTTCCTTGCAGTCCATACTTTAAGGGCTATGTACATGTTGGTGGCCACGGTAGTTTGGTATATTAACTTGGAACTATGTCTCAGCTAACAGATTTTTCTTAGAATCTAAATAGCTTGCTCTGTCATATCTGGCTCCAATCTGAACTTTTGACAGTGTTGCATAGTAAAATAACTTCCATTCATCAATTTAGATAACTTTAACAAAACATCAATTTGGAGATAATAATTTTAAAAGAAATGGTTAAAACAATTTCTAATACAGTTCTTGTCTAATTCTCTATTACAATTTTTTTTTTTAAGGCTATTGTGATCTTAATAGCTTTAAAGCTTAACCAGTAGCCTTTGGTTAACCCTTCAGTTAAGCCTCAAGTCTTGAAAGAGACCCTCTTTTCCTGGCTATGTTGTGGTTTATATATGAAGTGTCCCCCAAGGGCTGGTGTGTTGAGGGCTTGGTCTCCAGCTGGTACTCTATTAAGAAGTAATTGGATCATGGAGGTGCTAATTTGATTATTGTGTCAATCCACTAGTGGATCATAGGGGTGCTAACTTCATTGTTGTGTCAATCTACTAGTGAGTTCATGTTGAATGGCCTATTAGAACGTGGGGCTTCATGGTAGGAAGAAGGCCACTGAGGGGCTTACATTTGAGTGCAAATCTTATCCCTGACCCTTTCCTCTCTTTATGCTTTCTAGCCACCATGGGGGAAGCAGCTTTCTTCCACTCGTTTCTTCCATTATACCCTTCTACCAGAACCTTTTCTGTATATTGACAGGCCCTAAAGCATTGAAACAAGACAAATACATGGACACCTCTGGAGCTGTGAGCCAAAATAACTCTCTCTTACACTGCTCTTCTCAGAACCTGTCACACACTGAAAAGGTGACTGTGCTGGATAGCTTTAGTGTCAACTTGACACACCTGGGTTGAGGGAGCCTCAATCGGGGAATTGCCTCTATTGGACTGGTCTCTGGCCATGTCTGAGGGGCATCTTCTTGATGAGTGATGTGGGAGGGCCCGGCCCACTGTGGGTGGTGCCATCCCTGGGCAGGTGGGCCTGTGTTGCATAAGAAAGCAGGCTGAGCAGGGGCCAGGGGAGCAAGCCAGTAAGCAGCATTCCTCCTTGGCCTGTGCTCCAGCTCCTGCTTCCAGGTTCCTGCCCTGAGTTCCTACCTTGGGCTCCCTGATGAACTGCGACCTGGGAGATGTAAGACAAATAAACCCTTTCCTTCCCAAGTTGGTATTGGTCAGAGTATTTTGTCACAGCAATGAAGAACAAACTAAAACAGTGACTAACAGAGACTGTCAACTTCAAGATTCAAGGTCTACTTTTCTTTACCATCTATGAAGTACGTATTTTGCTCATTCTTTGTCCTGCAGTTTTGTCTCAAAGGTAAAGCTCATGGTTAGGACCCTCCTCTCACAGTCTGCTGATATTCCCATGGGAGCACATTCTGCTTCTGAGTTCTCTTATGAATTCACTCAGGTCAGTAGGTTGTTTGACAAAAGTTATTAACAGGAATTCGTACAAATGACCTGAAATTATATTGTCAGCTTCCCCGAACCTCTGAATATAAAGCATAAATAAATGCCTTTCAGAGAACTGAAAGCAAACAAGACAGTCCTTTTGATATAAACCCTGAAACTTAAACTCTGAGAAATGTTTTTCATTGACAGAAAAAGGAAAAGAAATTTCTGACTAGCCTGTGGCAACTAGAAAGTTCCTTCTAAACGAGCAAGTGTACCATATTCTTGTGTCACTACAGAATCTATCTTGATTTTCCATTGGTCTGGGAGACATATCCTGGTTATATATAATACATTTTCTTCTATGACACAACTCTTTCTCACTGACACACTTATAGATCTCTCCCTTAGCTTGTACTTTCAAATGTAGATAGATATATGAAGAAATTGTGGCTGGTGACTTGTTCTTATTTAAGAATGTTAAAGTTTGGACTGTAGAAACGACTCTTAACCAAGACTATGTGTGTACTGCTCTTCCAGAGTACTCATTCAGTTCTCAGCACCAATGCCTCGTGTCTTGCAACTACCTGTAACTATAGCTTCAGAGGATCTGACACCTCTGGGCTCAGAGGGCACCCCCCACACAGGCAAACATATAATTAAAAATAAATATTAAAAAAAAAGTTGGAGTTTATATAACCCACCACAAAATTCATTTCCATGTGAAATGAATCTGTGACACGAATGAAAGGATCTGATTGTTTAGATAGGCTAGAAATACTTTCCTAAGAGATAGATAGAACAAACATTAAGCTGGGTGTCAGTTGACCAGGTACTAGAACTTTCTTTTATGCTAAGTCATGGGAAGACATCACTTCATATTACTGCAAGTCTAGCACCTGAAAAACAAAAAGGACTTCCTATTACTGATATTCTGCCCCAGTGTAACAGTGTGATTAAGTGTGTGACCGAGTTTCGAAGTTCAAATCCTGTGCTATCACTGCTTGAGATTTTAGCAAAGTACTTAACTTTTCTGTGTCTCATTTCTATCATAAAATGGGAGTAAAGTCTGTCTCAAAGGTGTTCATGAAAGTTAAGTTAAGAGATATTTTTGCAACAATGTCTGGTCCATAGAAACACAGAATAACTGTTCACTGTTATTATTTTGTGAGCCTTAGTTTATTATGTGCTTTATCTTTGTATTCTAAGATGAGTGATTGTAAACCTCAACTCATAACAACTTAAGATAGGATTATATTCATATGAAGGATCTCAATATCAAAATGCAGTTAACATATTTAAAAAGTCTTACCTTTTTCCAAATTTAACTCATCGTCTTGCCTGGCTTGGAAAGGATATAAGGCCTTGCAAAGGTTGTTGCCGAGCTGGACCACACCAGAGGCTAAAAATTGGATTAAGTTGTAAATACCATGCTGTGTTAGTAGGAAAAACCACTATGATATGAAACTCTTTGTTTATTTAACAGTGTGGTGTAAACCTTAACTTTTTCTCTAAAAGAAAGTTCTTAACTGGGCATAGTGGCTCATGCCTTTCATCCCAGCACTCGGGAGGCAGAGGCAGGCAGATCTCTGTGAGTTCAAGGCTAGCCTGGTCTACATCATGAGTTCCAGGCCAACTGGAGCTACAGGAGACTTTGTCTCAAAAGGCAAAAAAAAAAAAAAAAAAGTTCATAATTTTACCTAATATTCATTCCTTAGTTCAATAAGCATTTATGATATATTGTCTATGCATAGAAAATGTGTGTGTACTATATAACCAAAAACCATATTGTAACACAGGAAAGAATAATTCTGGAGAAAAGCTACTCACATAGTAATAATAAAGATGGCAATTTTAAATTATTTGCTTTCCACATGAGCTTAGTCTCCATCATTAGGTAATGTGTGTGATAGCTGCATACATTGTTTGCAAACACCAGCCTCCTCATTCAGGTAGAGGTGAGATATGTATAGTGTGTGCTGCTTATCATTATCCCTTGTCACTTACGAAATTGTTTCTCAAAAAAAAAAAAAAATCACTGGTCAGAACAGGAGAGATGGCTCAGTGGTTAAAAGCACTGACTGCTCTTGCAGAGGACCCAGGTTCTATTCCCAGCAACCACATGGCAGCTAACAACCAACAATAACTCCAGTTCCGGAAGATCTGGTGCCCTCTTTTGACTTCTGTGGGCATTACACAACATGGGTGCACTTACAGTCATGCACACAATACACTCATACACATAATTTTTTTTTTAAAAATCTGGTGACTTAAATAGATGGTATGCACTACAATGCCATTGAAACTCATTTTGTCCACTTTGTCTATATATGATCAAGAAACTAGAGCATTGGCATTATGGTGTATAGTTGAGGAGCAGTGATCTGTGTGTGTACAGGCATGTGTGCACTCACGCATGCAGAACGCCTCATGTAGTAAAACAATATTTCCTCCCTGTACTCTTGATGACTCCTCCCCACCTCCTTTACTCTTTGTACACAAAACTACAGATTCTAACAAATTCATCCATTTCAACTGAAAGGTAAATATAGGTAAGTGAGTTAATATAGGTAAGTGTAGCTTTGAAATCATACTCAAATATAGCAATGTGCTTTATTCCTAAAACCCAGTTGAGTACTGGGCATTGGATTACCTGAAGATGAAGACACTGGGTTGCTCTGTCCCCCATCAGGGGCTCTGCTCACAGCAGTCTCCAATCTCTTCATCAGAAAAGGCCGAGATATTTTTACATATGTGTGAGTATGCTCCTGTTCCAATAGTTTTTTAAAAGAAAATTATTTCAGAACAACTGTATCACAAGTACTCATAAAAAATTCTCTGTCATTTCCTTGGGATTTGTTTTGAATGGAGAGGGCATATAAAGAAAGTACTCAACATATTCCTGAGACCTACTGTGTATAAACTTTCTTATTCTAAAGGCAAAATGTTTTCAGAAATAGACAATTCCTGAAATTACTGTATTTTGTAGCCTAGGTTTCCAATTTAGACTTATGTGTCTAAGCCTAATGGAAAGAATCCTGATAATAGCCAATGATATGATTGAGACCATTTTAGAGCTCAGGACTGACTTCGGAAAGAATACTGCCCCTCCGTCACTGGATGGTTAGTTACAGCTCCCCCTTCTGATGGTAATGGAAATAATTGCAAGCAATAGCTGTCCACACACACTGACAACCTCATCAGTTACAGAGAAGTGCTACACTGAATCTGTGTCTTGGAGGGTTAAAACTGTTCTCAGACATTGTTCAAATTATAGACTATGTTAAAGTACATACTGTAGGTTAAGATGAACCTAACCCATATAATAAAATATTAAAATTTATTCTGTAGGAATACTAACTATTCAGTGTAATAGAAATTTATACTGTGAAAGAACATCGAAAAACTAAAGTTAGTTAAGATATGAGATGAGAGAAGAAATCCAAAGTTTTTCATTCACTTGAGTAATTTAGCCTTGTTGCAAAGAATGCATTCAGTTGTACTTAGCTCTTACTGTGCTCAAAAGGAATAAAAATAAGTTGATGTTAAATTTCTGCAGTGAGGTCTTAGAACATACGGCACACAGTCTTCCACCTTGGCACTCCTTTAAACCCTCCACCTGGCACACCCAGTTAAGAAATGGCAACAGATCTCCTGGGTTTTACCTTTTCTTTCCACTTGAAGATGCAGGTGCCGCAGGGATGGCTGGGTTTAGGTCTTTGCTCCAGTTCTGCTAATACTGATGACAGTTTATAGGAGTTGGCTTGTAAAAGGTCTAGTTTCAAATTGGTCTGTGGGCATATCATATAGCCATGTGAGAAAATTTCTAGAAAATGAGGCACAACTGGGTGGATAAAGAAACACCAGGATATCTTTCAAAAATAAAAGGAGATCTAGAAAAACACAAGATCACTTCACAAGCAAAAACACATAAACTATACTGAAGACATGACACTGGAAAGGGTAAATACTGAACACAATGCAAAGGAAAGTCTCGTGTCCTATTTAGTTTTTACTCTCCTAATTAGGGTAAAGACAATTTGTTTGATATGTTGCTAGATATTCTGTGCTAATGAATAACTGTAGACAATTTTCTGCTGAGGACCAAGAACAGAAGTGTTATTTACAGAAGTATTTTCAGCGCCCATGAGAAAAAGCAATTGAGCCACACTTCAATATTTTAAAATATTTCCTGTAGGTAAGTGCACCCGTGTCGTGCAATGACCTCAGAGGTCAGAAGAGGCTGTCTGAGCCCCTGGGACTGGAGTTATGGACAGTTGTTAGCTGCCATGTGGGTGCTGGGATTCAAACCTGGGTCTTTTGCAAGAACAACCAGTGTTCTTAACCGCTGAGCCATCTCTCCAGCCCCTTTATTTATTATTTTTATGTGTATGGGTATATTGACTGCATGTATGCAAGTTCACTTGTGTCATGCAATGCCTGTGGAGGTCAGAAGAGGAACTGGAACTGGAGTTATGGACAGTTAGCCATGTGGGTGGTGCAAACCAAACCTGAGTCCTCTGCAAGAGCAGCCAGTGCTCTTTCCCACTGAGCCCTCTTCAGCCTCTACACCTCAGTATTTTAACAGCACTGAATCCACCAATAGTATCAACCAAAATTGGATGTGAATTGTTTTTGCTTTTATTTGAAGAGGTAAAGTCTTATATTATACAAGAAGATTGTAGTTAACGCCAGAAACAATATTCAACTGGTATTCCAGAGCATTTGAGTATAAAAATAAGAAGTGTAGCTAAATTACTAGTCTCTTCCTATCCTAGCTCTGACCTTGAACTAAAACCTTATGATTATTTCTTTTCAGCTATGTTCAGTCAGGAGAAATCAAACCACAGAATAAACATTGGAAAGGTCCTGCTTATCCAACCCCCTCCTCATTTCTTCTCTCTGTACCTCCAGCATGGTATTTCTAGCCCCTCATGTTCCTACTAGACAGAAAGATCTTTAATTCTCAGCACAATGTACTGCATCATGGGGCAGACTTACCTAAAATGAAAACAAAGATCCCCCATACTTCTGTTAGACCCAAACTATGGTGCATTTGAAAGCACTAGAGAACGTATCAAGTTCTGGAACAGTTTTCTCTCCAACATCTTGCAGATAACATCTAATCTGAATGCTTCCTTGCCAACATTCTTGAATCAAATATGATACTTCAAGGCCCAACAGACAATGCAGCAGGAAAGAATTTAAGGGAAGCAAAGTGTCAGCTTGAAGATTCCTTCCCTGAGTAATCAGAAATCTGTCAGTACTACCAGTTTCCTTCTCCCTGGATGCATAGCTTGTCTACGGTCATTACATGGTATTTGGTTTCCACTATTGAAGGTTCATCTTGCTGCATTACTTCTCATAGGCATCGTGAGCTCAGGGGTTAGATCTTCCTTGTTCTATGTGAGTTGAGTTAATATGTGACCAAAAGATCAAAGCATGTTTGCTTCTGATAATGACGACAAACAAGATTCCATGCAAAGACAGCCAAAGAAGCCTAGAACTCAATGTCATGATAAAATACTTCTTATGACTTTATTTTCATAAATAATCTGCCTTTGAGCTGGAGAGATGGTTCAGCAGTTAAAAGTACTGGCTGCTCTTGCAGAGGACCAGGGTTCAATTCCCAGCACCCACATGGCAGCTAAAAGCCATCTGTAACACCAGTTCCATGGAGGATCCAACGCCCTCTTCTGACTTCCACGAGCATTGCATGACACATGTGCACTTAAATACATGCAAGCAATACACTCGTACACATAAAGATAGATAAATATTAAAAAATTAATTTGCCTTGAATTACTTAACTGAACTTTTTTTGCGGTCACAGAAAATATCCTATAGTGTTTTTTATAATGTCCTGTAAATTATATCCATGTGTCATTGCAGTAGTATGTCAGATCAGTGTTCCCAAGTGAACAAGCCTTTCTTTTCACAAGAAGTATTAGGATTATTTCTGCAACAACCTCTCCACTAAAGAAAATCTATAATAATAAAAAAGATAGACTAGCTAGAGCTGGCTGCATCTAGGCCTGCCAAGCTACTACTGAACATACCATGTTGGGCAGAATTTTGAGCTACTTACTTTCTCAAGAGAGTTATACTAGGTAAAGAAAGCCTGCCAAGATTCTTGTATCCTTCAAAACATTACTAAAAACTTCCCTCTTCCTGAATTCTTATATTAACTAACCCGAGCCCACTTCTGATCATTCAAATCACAGCAGAGCCTCCTACCATCTTCCCACTTCTACCCTAATTCCCAAAGAATTTTGCCTCTAAAGTAGCCCATTTCCTCAGATGCCTTTGCCTCCCCCAGCCCCTAGATACCCCTTTTCCTGATTGTAGCCGTATCATTTTCTTATTATTCTCTGAGGACTCTGATGTCTGCTGAAGAGCAAATGGAAACTAGAATTGAAAAACAAAAATTATAACTACTCTTCAACTCATGATGAAGTTGTATCCCAGTAAACCTAACATGAGCCAAACATCCACATTTAGGCTGGCAGGCCTTAAGCATGCTCAGAATCTTATATTAGCTTACCATTGCCAAAACCATCTAAAACAAAGACTTTCATAACAGAGTGAAGAATTTCCCATGCAATTTATTGAACATTATACTAAAACTGAAAGACAAAATGTTTGTGTGGGTAGACTTTCCCACCACTGTAAAATGGAATAACTGCCATGTCACACAAGTTGGCGACCAAGTTTTGAGTTTTCTCTGACTACTGCACTAGCATTTTCTGCATAATAATTCACCCTCACAAAGCTCTGTGAGGTATCAGTATCCCTATTTTGCATATGAGAAGACCCAGATCCCAGGTTCCTGTAACCAGCAAAGCTAAATCCAAACATAGGCTTCTGTGAATGAGAACCCAGTGTTATTTGGTCACATGCCTATGATTTCTTTAAAGGATGAATCTATTTTGGAAAGTTCTACTTGGAACACATTGTTTCTTCCTGATGTTCTTTTTGTATAGTAAACAATTTCTGGGTAGTAGGAGTTTTCCAAATCCCTCAAACTACCTGTGAAGGGGTGTCTCTGTCAGCTCTCTCACTCAATTGTCCTGCATCACAAGAAAGGAAAGGCAAACAGTGCAAATGGGCTGGAAAACAAGTATTCTAAAAATAACCCCTTCAACATTAAATGCACTCTGCAAATATTTACCTCGTCCATTAACGCCTCTGCATCTTTCTGGCTCTTGGCATCAGAGAAGGAGGAGTTGCTAGAGAATGCATTAAGCATTTGTTCCAGGCCTGAAATTGAAACCATGCTCCATGTCATTTTTCATCCCATCCTAGTGGGTCACAGTTAGGGTCAGTCACCCTCAAAGAGATCCTGAAGGCTATGAGTGATACGCATACCCTTAGACCTTCATACATGGCTAAGGGAGTTTCTTGTGCAGTTGTCACTGGATTTTGCTGAATGAATATGATAAATGAACTAATGTTAATTTATTGTTATCCTCATGTAATGAAATTTGAGGAATGCTACTGTTTAAAGTATCTGATTGTAATTTTTCAATATAAAAGTTTGCATTTCCTTTCATTGACCCATTCCAGCAATTCCTCACGCGTACACCATCTTAGGTTCTTCCTCTTTATTCTGTTTACATCACCAACGTCTTCTATCTTGAATATCCTAGTTTCACTGGAGTGAGATACTGTGGTCCATGTTAACAAGCTGGATGTAGACTCACACGGATGTGGTTGTTTCTTGTTCATGCTGCTCTAGGGCTGCTTCTCTGTCTAGTACCTCTAGCTTCTAAATACGGGATTTCATTTGAATAGCTGTCACATTATTTCAAAAGTTAGTAAAAAGAAAGAAACCAAACCCCCAGATTCTGAGTAGAGTAGGTTTTCCATGTTTAAGCCACAAAAACCATCTCCCATTCCAGCCAATAAAATGCCATATGTCTAAAACCTGATAGAGTACTGCTTGTATAGGTCATAAACAGGCTGAAATACCACTTTAACACCTTTTAGGGGTTTGTTTATTATTTTGGTTTTTTGAGACAGGACCTCACTGTAGAACTCAGTATAGCCTTGAACTCACTATATAGCCCAGGCTGGGCTCAAACTCACAGCAGTTTTTCTGCCTTAGCTGAGATTACAGGTGTGTTCTCCCACACTTGACTATTTTTCTAAAAAAATTTATTTACTCGTGGTGTATGTGTGTGTGTGTGATTTCATGCATGCTTTCTTGATGGGGAGGTGTACCACATGCAGAGGTCAGAGGACAACTTTGTGGCATTCTGTCTTTCCTTCCCCCTTTATGTAGGTTCTGTGGATCCAACTCAGGTCACCAGAAATGCTTTTACCCATTGGGTCATCTTACTGGTCCAGCCCCAAATCAGACTCTTGACAATTTTTTTTCTTTTATTCATACAACTTAATGTGGTTCTTAAAAAGAAAGGGTCCTGCCCTAGTCGGCAAAAGCAAAGGAATCCTAACTCCAAGTAAAGCCTCTGCTGTGGTATACAACTAACTGTGTTGTGGTATGTGTATACCTTCCCTCATCAGGCCATCCGCTGAGATGATCACAAACTCACAAGCCAGGCATGGCACAACACACTTAAAACACCAGCACATGGGAGGCAGAAATAGAAACAGGGCCACAAATTCAAAGCCAGTATGGTCTGGTCTGTGCAGTGGGTTCTAGGCCAGCCAGGGGTTACATAACATGACCCTGTCTAAAGTTTTTTAAAAAGTTTTTTAAAGCCAGGCGTGGTGGCGCACGCCTTTAATCCCAGCACTTGGAAGGGAGAGGCAGGAGGATCTTTGTGAGTTCGAGGCCAGCCTGGTCTACATAATGAGCTCCAGGACAGCTGGGGCTACAAGGAGACCCTGTCTCAAAAAGACCAAAAAAAAAAAAAAGTTCAAGGCCAGCCTGGTCTACATAGTGAGTTTCAGGACAGCTGGGGCTACAAGGAGACCCTGTCTCAAAAAAACCAAAAAAAAAAAAAAGTTTTTTAAAAACCTTCTTTGTCTTTTGAGGCTTTCTCAATGTCTCTTTGCAGTCTTGACAATTTTGGTTTTAGTAAAGACTTCCGTCTCTCTTTATCCATTACATTCTTAGGATCTTCTTCCTTTAGGAGGAAACAACACAGATGTTTAACAACTTCAGGAAGAAAATAAGTTACCATTCACAGGGGTTCAAGACTCTCATTGATTGTATTTGGTGATTTTAACTTTATCATATGGTAGAAAGTTTAAAAATGAGGATAATCTTTGGATTTATATGCATTATTCTACCTGTTACAGACCTGAGTAATAAGACATAAGACATGATTTACAACCTGTCTGTACATGGCTGAGCACTTTATTAATAAGATAAATTGTTCTTGGAGGAGCTTTGTTATAGTGATTTCAGCTTCTTTCACCTCCCTCCCTCCCTCCTTCCTTCTATTTTATGTGTATGAGTGTTTTGCTTATTTGTATGTAAGTATACCTTTGTGTGTAATGCCTGCAGAGATGAGAAGAGGGCATCAAATCCCCTGGAACTGGAGTTTCAGATAGTTGTTAGCCACCATGTGAGTGCTGGGAACCAAACCTGGGTCCTCTGCAAGAGTAGCCAGTGCTCTTAACCAGTGAACCATCTCTCCATCCCCTACTTCAGCTTCTTGATAAATAAATCTATTTGTTGGGTACTTAACGCTCCATAAAATGATTTATCTTTATTCAAGTTAGGGTCTTTTCATTGTCCAACTATAAGACTGTATGTGCCTTAGGCTAGACTACCTCAGGAATGGATCAAATGTTTACTGAACTCTGTCGGTATGGTATTGGGATCGCATGAGCTACAACATATGCTCTGTCCAAAATGGCTTTCCGTTTGATTAGTATAACATTAAGAGAACAGCAATTCAGGGCCACATACTTCAGGAAGGGCACAGTGATGGGAGCAGGGGGAAGCTTCGATGAGACTGGACGGCTCACCCCGACTTCTTAGATGGAAGGAGAACAAAGGGCACTCCCGGGTGAGAAATGGTGCAAGCAAAGGACAGAGGAGGACTCAGTGGAGCAGATCAGGGACAGCAGGACAGAAGAACAGTTGTTTTGCTTGAGCAAAATGGAAGAAAAAGTTGTCTGCGTAGATTAGGCTAGATTTTAAGGATGAAGAAGGGTTTTATCATCCAGTGCAGATTTTGTGTTTTGTTTTCGTTTGTTTCGTGGGGTTTTTATTTTTTATCTTTTGGACAGGAACTTACTATTTAGTCTAGTCTGCTGGGTTTGAACTTGCAGTGATCCTCCTGTCTCAGTCTCCTGAGTGTTGAAATTATAGGCGTGAGCTGCCATACCTGGCACTATATTTAACTCTCATATGAATTACTTTAAGGCTGAATGAGAAAAATTGAGGTGGCTGAACATGAGTGGACAGAAGCCCATGGAGAAGGGGGAGCTACTAAAGAAGGAGAAAAGCTGGAATTATGAATGCTTAGTAGGGAGATTAGTTTTAGATAAATCCATATGGGGGGGAGCACAAGGATACAGGGCAGAGAGAGTCATCTCCAGAAAAAAGTAACTGAATGGTAAAAGTTTCTCATTTAGCTTTCTTCATTATGTTTCTCTATATTTTTATTCTCTGCGATGTTTATTCTATGAAGTTAGTTTTCTTCATTTTACCAGTGACACACCAATAGGTGTTTATTCCTAAAATACAAAAACAATACTTTGACCCTCACATTCTCCATGCTTTTCCACAGGGCTGCTAATAGTAGAGGCCTCAGCTGATGCCACACCCTCGGGCGAACTCTCATTAAACCTACAGGAGACCTAAGTCCTTCTTCGTTGGAGGAATGCAATCAGAGCACAGCATTTGTTCTACAGGACTTCACTGAGTCTGCTGGGGACATCTACTGTTTGAACATGTATTGCTAGGAATAGCTGCGTCCTTACGTTTTCATAGAATCCTATCAGATTTCCCACAGTATCCTTATTTTATGGGCAAGTTTATTATAGTGGCATTTACAAAAACTATTACATTTATTTATGTGTGTGCCCTTGTGCTATGGCATGTGTATGGAGCTCAGTCTTTGGAAGTAAGTGTGAACTGGCTTTTATTCAGTGCTATCAAGTTTACACAGACTTCCCACAAGACTTTACATAGACTTCCCACAAGGATAACTTATGGGAATCAGTTCTTTCCTTCCACCATATGAGTGCTGAGGATTAACCTTAGGTCATCAGGCTTGGCAGCAAGTGTCTTTACCCTGTGAGCCATTTGCCAGCTCCACAGAGGCATTTTTATTACCCTTTATTAAACAAAAACAGCAGATACATTTTATTGTGCATTTTCCCATCTAAAGGCTTCCCTACAGTATTTGGAAGAAAAGGAGGAAAAGAAAGGACCCTTCCCTCTGGGTCCCGTCTTTACCTTCCTTTCTCCTTTGAACAGATCAACTTGACAATATGGAGTTTCTGAAATTTGTCCTTCTTGTCCAACGATTTGTTAGGAAAAGGTCAAAACTGCTAGAGGCATATAAGACTACAATCCTTTGAACATGAAATTTACAGTAACTTAACAAATATTTTCACACTAGTTACCAACCCCTCAAGATCTGAGCTTAGATTACTCTCTTGCTTGCCCTTGTCTGGGTAAACTTCATAGCAATGGATAAAACCCAGTCCACACCTACTGCCGAAGACTGTGAAGTCAGACACCAGAATGCTCTACTTTAGAGTAATCAAGACAGTCCTATTCACTCATTTTGAAACAAATTTAACTATATTGAGCCCTCGTGCACTGAAGTTTCTTAAAAATCATAAATTACCATGAGCATGTAGATTAAAGATGAATGAGTGTATTGTCTGCATGTATGTGAGTGCACCCATGTCGTGCAATGCCACGGAGGTCAGAAGAGGGTTTCAGGTTCCCATGGAACTGGAGTTAAGGATGGTTCATAGCTGCCATGTGAGTGCTGAGAATCAAACCTGGGTCCTTTGCAAGAGCAGTCAGTGCTCTTAACTGCTGAGCCATCTCTCCAGCCCCAGCTCCTTACATTTCTATAGAGTCGTATCCCAGACTATCCTTACTTTATTGACTGGTTAGGTAAAGGAGCATTTTTAGTTGCCTTTGTAAGAAAACAACAGATACGTGTACCTGTTCCCCTTGGAAGGTTTACCTACTGTATTTAGAAGGAAAGGAAGGAAAAGAAAGGTACCTTTCCATTGTGTTCCCATGTTACCTCCCTTCTGCTTTGAACAGATATTGCGCTGGCAATATACTTCACCTAGCTAAGGTAGAAACAAATGGCTATTAAAGAAACACCTGGCCACTTGTGGCTGTTGGAAGTGGGGAAAGGTGAAGTTTGTCAGGATTCACAGCTCTTCCCTATCTTCTCCCTTCTCCCCTCATCTCTTGTCCTCTGAATAGGAGTCCTGGGATTTGGGCCTCAGGTCAGTTGTACATTGAACCCAGTAGGAGAACATGAGCAGTGGACTGGCTCTACAAATCAGAGAGGGATAAGAGCCCAGTGAGAAGTTGAAAGTCTAAATTAAATACAGCAGGTGGCTCAAGAAAGAGCTTTCAGAAGTCATTTTTACAGGTTATTAATGATCAGCTCCTAGGGAGTAAGGGCGCAGATCTGTGTTAGTGTGATTGCTTAGAATGTACAGGGCCCTGGATATATTCACATCACCACCACCAGAAAAAAACAATGAAGGATCTTGGGGTCTGGGAGGTATGTGCCTGCAGTCCCAAGCTACTTGTGACACTGAGGCAAAGGATCATTTGAGGTTCAGGAGTTTAAGATCAGCCTGGGCAATAGTATGTTACATGGGCATTTAGTGTGTGTGTGTGTGTGTGTGTGTGTGTGTGTGTGTGTGTATTGTGTGCTGGGGGGAGGGAGGAGAGAAAGAGAGACTATGAATGAATATGAATCAGGATCAGCTAGCTACTAGACCATTACCGTTAAGTAGGCAAGACCAAAGACTTTTCTCTAAGAAGCCGAGTAGGATGCCTCACACCAGCAATCCTAACATTAGTATCACTAACACTCAGATACTTAGGAGGCTGAGGTAGAACAGTAGAGACAAGATGTCTAGGCTCTGAGTAGGGAGAATCATCAGTTTTCAGCAATAAAGATCATTCTGCAGCTGAATCACCCAAAATGCCTTAAAAATAAGGTTCAGGCAATTTGATCCCAGTTTTTCAAGAGAAGGGACCACAAAAAAAATGTTGGTAATGTTTTCCACCCCCACGATTTACACCTCTGTGCAACCTTGCTCTCTTGAGTAGGGTTTGTACTTACTGACTTGATTTTAACCAATGGACTATGACAAAATTTCACTTCTGTGGCCAGTTTCCACAGTGCTCTGCTTCCTCTGTGTGCCCTCTGGCTCTGGGTCTTTTAGGTCACTCATCCTGAGGAAAGTCGGCTGCCATGTGGTGAGAGGTGAGACATGGAGAAACTCATATTGCAAAAATTAAATTTATGTGTGTGTGTGTGTGTGTGTGTGTGTGTGTGTGTGTGCGTTGTGTGTAAGATGTGAAGGTAGAAACGGAACTATGAGAAGAGAGGAAGAGGTCTGGAAAGTGGGGTGAAGAGAAGGCACTGGAATACATGTTACTTGAAAGCAAAAGGGAGGGCAGTTTGAGAGGAGGAAGGGGAATAGCAGGAGTGGGTGGGGTGGGGGAAAGGCAATCGGGGAGGATGGATGAGACAAAGTATAATGACATATAAGTATGAAAGTACCACGGTGAAATGCATTACTTTGTGTGAAAAGAAATGATATCTCCCACTCCAGCTAGTGAGCAGAGCCCTGCCAAGCCACCTGAGTGAAATGAAGTGTTTCCTAGGACAGCTTTGAGATGTCAGAAGTTCTAGCTGAAACCTTCATTGTTGCCTTGTGAGGGATTCAGAGGACCCCAGCTGTGATACATCTGAATTCTTGAGCCTCATAAACTGTTGCTAGACAACAAATATTTAAGCCAGTAGTTTGAGGGCAGTTTGTTACACAGTTAATTTGTGTAGATAACCTGTACAACACAGTATGCTATATAGCCATTATTTACACATTAAGAAACACATATATCTGGGATTACTCTTACAGAAGATTGCAGTGATCTACATGTCCTCAGAGATCGCGAGTTAGAAACTTAACCCCCCAAACAGAAGTACAGTGAAGGTAGACTTTCAGACGTGATTAGATCGTGAGGGCTGTGCCTCTGGAAGGGACTATTGTCATTGTCACGGGAGTGAGTTTCTCACAGAAGCAAGTTCAGCACTTATCCTCTCGCTCATATGATGATGGTATCTTTCGTGTTATGAAGCAGCAAGAAAACCCTCACCAGATGCACTGCTCCATCTAGGACTTCCCAGCCTCCAGAATCATATACACTTCTATTCTTTATCAGTTGCCAAAGCTGCTGAATTCTGTTCTAACAGCATGAGAGACAAACTGAGACAAAGACCCAAGATGAAGATTCTAAAATTCTGCCAGACATTCTTCCCTTGCAGGGACTACTACTGCCCAGTTTGTAACCCATAGGCTATTCATGTCACCATGGAAAAAAAAAAATCAGCATTTTTGTTCACAAAACATCTCTGCAGTCAGGCATGGTAGCATACACCTGTAATCCCTGCCCTTAGGAGATGGAGGCAAGAAGATCAAGAGTTCAAAGGCCAGTTTTGGGCTACGTGAGACTGGGAAAAAAGAAGCATTTCCTTTAGCATTATTTCAAAACAACTTCTCAGTGCATGACCAAGGCTCCCTGTTGAGCTCACTTCCTGTCACTCCATACTTACAAAGTAGTCAGTTAGTAGGAGCTCGGATTTGTTTTCTGTAGATGAAATTGCACTTTCTTCCACTAGAGCCTGGATATCTTTCTCGACATCAACCTTGCTGATGGCACAGTGGATCTGTGTGTGGCACTGCAATGCCAAAAGCAGAGGAAGTTGTTGAGGAAACGCTTCCCGCCAGCCTTACCATACACACCAGGAATGGCATGAGCTCAGTGACTCACTGTGGTCAGCGTTTGGCCAAAAAGAGAAATATGTTGGCTGTACTGGTTTAAGTTGTTGCATAAAAGTTGAATTCTTTCCTTCTCCAGCTCCAGGATGCTCTGAAGAGAATGGAAAAGGAGGTAAAATCAAGTATTTGTTATGCAAAGCTGGTCACGCAGCCCACTCTGTCCCCTGGGATAGCCTGAGCAAATTGTCCTGATTTGCCTTTATGTGGCGTATCCAAACTGCAGTGCAGGGAGGTTCCCAGAGCAGAACTAGGAAAAGGACTATTCTCGGCTTCTTTTTGGCCTTATAGAAAACTCAAAACAAGGGGATGGAGAGATGACTCAGGTTAAGAGCACTTACTGTACTCTGAGTTCAGTTCCCAAGGCTCATGTTGGGCAACTCACAGCTCTACCTCTAGGGGATCCAATGTCCTCTATTAGCCTCTGCTGACACCCATACATACATGGCAGATATTTACACAGACATACATACATACACATAAATAAAAATAAATCTTTTTAAAAATGAGGGACTGGAGAGACGACTCAGTGGTTAAGAGCATTGGCTGCTCTTGTAGAGCACTCAGGTTTGATGCCCAGCACCCGCACGGTGGCTATCAACCATTTGTAACTGCAGCTCCATGGAGTCTGATGCCCTCTTCTGACCTCTGTGGGAATTGCAGGACACGGATGCACTTACGTACATGCAGGCAATACACTCATACACATAACATAAAAGTAATAAATAAAATTTTTTTTTAATGAAAGAAACGGGTGTAGTGATGCACGCTTTTAATCTCAGTACTCAGGAGGCAGACACAGGCAGATCTCTGTGAAATCCAGGCTAGTCTGGTCTACATAGTGAGTTCCAGGTCAGCTGGGACTATAGGGAGACCCTGTCTCAAAAAGACAAAAAAAAAGTTATGGTAATCCAAAAGAAAGAAAGAAAGAAAAAGAAAGAAAAGGAAAAGAAAAGCTGAAAGTCAGGAAATATGCAAATGTAGGCTTAACTGTTAGATAAGCTGTCAGGGATAATAAGCCTTTCCTGAGAGAGAGTTTCACTGGTGAGTTCCTCCTCTGGAGCCAGGGGAATCAACCCATTTTTGCCCCTGACATGGGATTTCATGTAGAAATTTTAATTCTTTTTGACCCCTGTTATACTGTTAGAATGAGCTACACATTCTTTAGCCATCTTTTTCTTTTTGAGACAGTCTCAGGTGTAGCCCAGGCTGGCCTCAAACTTGCTACGGGTGACATTCCGATGACTATGAACTTCTGATCTTCCTTCCTCCTCTTTCTGAGTGCTGGGATTACAGATGGGTGCCACCACACCTGGTTTTTATGTAGTTCTGGGGATTGAAACCAGGATCTTGTATGTGCTAGGCAAGCAATCTACTCACTGAGCTACATTCCCAGTCTCAAAATTCCTAATCTTGCAGCTGGAAAGATGGCTCAGCAGTTAAAAACAGACTGTTCTTGCAGAAGACCCAGGTTCAAATCCCAGCACCCACATGACAGCTAACAACTGTCTGTAACTCCAGTTCCAGGGGATCCAACAGCCTCTTCTGTCTTCCTTGGGCATTGCACGATATGGGTGCACTTACCTACATGCAGGCAATACAAGTATACACATAAAAAAAAAATTTTCTAATCTTTTTCTGTTTGATAACTTTACACATCCACCTCTCTCCCCTCCCCTCCCCTCTAATTCCTCCTATATTGAACCCCCACACTTTTCCCTTCCAACTTCATGTCCTCTTTTTTACCCCCTGCCCCCATTCTACTTAATGCATGGGTGGAGGGTCATCTACTGGAACACAGGAGCCTCTCAGGGGCTGCATTCTCCTAGCAGCCATCAATTCTTAATAGCTCCACAAGTGGGACTTCATGATCTCCTCTCCTATCCAGGCTGGTATTTGGCTGGTTTGACCTTGTCTAGGTCTGGTACATGCTAACACAGCCACTGTCAGTTCATATGTGTGATGACCCCGACTTGTCTGGTAAATACTATTTCACTGAAGACATCCACTACCTCTGGCTCTTAATAATCTTCCTGTGCCCTCTTCTGTGATGATTTCTGAGCTTTGGGGGAGGAGGCTGTCACATTGCTGTCTTGTTTAAAGCTGAGCACTCCACAGTCTCTCTTTCTCTGCATGTTGACTGGCTTTTGGCCTCTGTATTAATAGCTATCGGCTACAAAAAGAAACTTCTCTGATGAGGGTTGAGAAATACAATAATCTAATGAATATAATGACAAAAACTTAGGGACAGTTTATTACTATGTCCACTTGGCAGAATAATAGTATTGGGTTCTCCCCTGGAGCCTATTGAACTACTCAGCCACAGGTTTCTGGCCTAATTAATGGTACCAGGCATGAGTTTGTCTTGTGGTGTGGGCTTTAAAATTTTTTATTTATTATTTTTATTTTATGTGTTTGAGTATGTTGCCTGCATGTGTGTAAGTACACCTGTGTTGTGAAATACCCACGGAGGTCAGAAGAGGGTGCAGAATCCACTGGAACTGAAGTTACAGACAGTTGGTAGCTGCCATATGGGTGCTGGGAATCAAACCCAGGTCCTCTGCAAGAGCAGCCAGTGCTCTTAACTGCTGAGCCATCACTCCAGCCCACATTATCTAGTCTTGTTTTTGTTTTTGTTTTTTGTTTGTCTTTTTGAGACAGGTCTCCCTGTAGCCCCAACTAGCCTGGAACTTGCTGTGTAGACCACCCTGGCCTTAAATTCACAAAGATGTGCCTGCCTCTGCCTCCCAAGTGCTGGGATCAAAGGCATACGCCACCATGCCCCGTGGGTGTCTAAGAGACTATTTGACAAGAGCAGAATCTCTAATTCTGATGAATTCTTAATCCTGGCCTAAAATTAGACCTGGGGTCAGAGTCTACTGCTTAAAGGTAAGAATATGACCTCCACATTTTATGTGGGTTAAAGAAATTCACAACTGGATTCTTATGACTTAGCTAGCAAGGAAGGTAGGAGCATCATACTTGTTAGCCTTGTACAGTTTACACTAATATAGCCTTGTTAGCTATCAACATTTCAGAGCAAATTAGTTACTGGACTCTTGCCATTCATTCACTGACGTGTGGATTTTAGGATGGGTGGAGAAGTTTAACAGTGAGGTTATATGAAGTCTGTAGAGAAAACTCCTTGCCATGTAGGGGCTGAGTAACTGCAGTGTTCATGCCCAAAGGACTTTGGACTTTGTCAAAAACGACAGGTGCCCAAGCCAGCATTCTCCAGATGCTGTTTGTATAAGGTCAGTGCTTAGATGTTCACTCTTTTATCAGACAGGGCCAGGCTGGTGGCCTTTATACTCAGAAAGTGAAGAGCAGAGAACTACAAAGTTGCTGAGTCTCTCTGGGCATCAGCAGGACCCATTCCCCTGATCTGCCATGGTGTCCTCTACATCCTTGTGCTGTTTTATCTGTTGTACAAAGTCATTAACATTTTCAACCTGAATTTATATTTTTAATTACGATAAAGTATGAAGGCTATTTGAAGATGCAGTTCACTGATATGAAGTACATTTGAACTGCTGCTCAGCCCTCACCAGCATTCATCTCAACAGCACTGATCCTCTCACGAAATGGGAACTCCACTCACGAAGCAGTGACTGCCTACTTCCCGCCTCTTTGTCCACTGTGGGTATTTCAAGTGAGAAGAATCACATAATAATGTGTCTCCAAAACCATAGGCATCAGCCAACTGAGTGTGACCACATGCCCTTTTTGTCACCTGGATAAAGACTTAAAGACACAGAAGAATAGCTTATTAAGCATGTTGCCTTTTTAAGGGGCAGAATTAAAATGTCTCGGAACAAGTATGTAAGACAAATGAAGCTCATTTGTTTGGATCACTTAAAAAAGAAATCCTTATCCTATTATTAAAAAAAGATGGAGAAACCAGCTGTTCCATCTTAGTACTACAAGCAAAGGACAGGGAAGAAAACGAAAGTCAGGTTTTAGGACACATTGCACTGGTGGCAGCTGTTTCTTTACATTGACAAGCTCAGAACCACAAGCATCAATCTGAGATTAGAATAACTGCAGTCCTCTTCTAGAGATGGGAATCTTAAACAGGCTTTAATTATGTTTCAGGGAAACCATTAAAATGATTTATGTTTCCTCATGAAAAGTGGCAGAAATAAATTCCACTGTGCAAAGGGGAAAATCCTTATCTCATTTAATGAGTTATTGCTTTCTATTATCTTGTTCATTTTGTATAAAATGGGTGCTAGAGAAACAAGACACTCTGGAGGATCTTCAACTGTCCAGTGGTCAGAGAGTGATCAAGAGATAGTGGATCAGAGCCTATCCAGGCTCAGACATCATGATAATTCCTGTTCTTCATTCTCTTCAGGTTCTGCTGCCCTGGCCTCTGGGTAGGCCTAAGGGAGGCACTTGGAAGGACTGCATTTTCATTTAAATTGCTGTCATAAACATGATAGAAAAAATATCACACTCTTCCAGCCAGGAACTTCCAACTACTGAATGCATAGGTCCTTCCTAAAATCTTTCAGAGGTTGAGTCACCATGGGGATGGGGAATGGATTTCAACAGGCATCTAGGAGCTTTGAGACACTGTTCTAGGGCTGCAAAGAAATATATTCTAAAATCATGCATAATTCTTCTACTCAGAGATAATCAGGGCTAACCTGGTGCATCTCATTGTTGGTATGTATGTGATTTGATTTTCTAGCCTGTTCCTCCCACACTCAACACAACACCAGTTTCCTTCACTATTAGTCTCTAAAAATGCCATTTAAATAATTTTATGAAATTCGTTGTGTAGGTGTATGTTGTCCAAAGTCATCCGTTATATGTAGAGTCACGTATTGTACAATGAATTTTAATTAAAGCAGATCATATACATGATGGTCCAGTAAAATTGTAATAGAGCCACAGAGCCACATATACAGGTGTGGGCATCATAACACACAGCACAGCACATGACTCACAAACTTGTAGTGCTGCTGGTGTTAACAATCCTGCTGCACTGACAGCCATAGAAGAGTACAGCACATATAGCTATGTATGGTGCATAATATTTGATTAAAATAAAAGCAACCATATTTCTCATTCAGATTGTCTCCCTATCTAGCCCAGGCTGGATTTGAACTCATGTTCCTGAAGCCCCAGCCTTCTGAGTGTGTGCGCCATCATACCTTGTTTGGTTTATCAGTTTGTGTATTTGTTATACCATGTTTTTTGTGGTAGACAAATGACCACAAAACAGTATGTTGTGTTAAACTCAGCAACATCACATCTCTTTCCTGTCTCTTGGTTTCAAGGGATGTGTGAAATGACTGACCTTCACCATATAGGCCTTTGTGGGTACACGGTATAGACATTCACATGTGATGAAACTGCTTGTGGTGCTTTGGATAAGAAATGTCCCCCATAGGCTCTGGTATATGAACACATGATTCTCAGTTGATGGTGCTGTTTGGGGAACTTATGGGACCCATAGGAGTGGAGCCTTGCTAGAGGAAGTATGTCACTGACAGTAGGCTTTGAGAGTTTATAGCCTCCTCCCACTTCCAGTTCAAGGTCTCTGCTTCAACTTTGTGGTTGAAGACGTGATCTCTCAGCTTCCTGCCGCTGTCCTGCTGCTTGCTGCCGTGCCACCCCACCATCATGGACTCTTAACCCTTTGGAACCGTAAACTAAAATAAACTTGTTCCTTCCTATGTTGTTTTTGGTCATAGTATTTTATCACAGCAACAAAAAATTACTAGCACTGTCCTATGGAGATGTTCTCAGAACACATTCAGATTGTTTAGTGGCACATGACCACAATGAGCCACCGTCTGTATGCATCTAGAGTGGTACTAGTAGAGCATCATTCTTGGGAGAACTAAGGAAACAGTCACTCAAATCAGTTCTGTGCTCTGTAGTTCAGCTGAGGAATACTGGTTGAGGAAGGGAACATTTTTAAGAAGATTTCAACATAGATTGCAAATAGCTCTGTAAGATGCATCCTTAGCACATACTTAAGTAACAAGGATTTACTTCCTGGTCATTCTTAACAGTGTAGCTATTGGCTATTATTTTAAAGCTCTGTTATGAATTATTTCTATCAGTTGAGGTTTTTTCTTCTTAAAAGGCAGAAATAAAGTATACTTGTGAAGGCATAGGGATGATTTTGACATGTGGTTGGTTTGTATAATTGGTTCATTGTTTATTAGTCACACTTGAGTTACACTCTTTCTTACAATATCTAGAAAATTTCTTGAATATGATTCAATGAGTATTCTCTGACAGAACTTTTAAATCCAACATATCCAGTAAGAGAGAAAGGACACCTTCTAGGATTTTACAGATAAGTCTTACATTAAATTTTTATAGGATAGTGAAATACTGAACAAAAATAAAATTGAGTCTCTTATTGTTCCATTTTCATCATACTCACTTATAGGGAAAGAGACTTTGACTTGCTTTTGTTACATGTCTTCACAAACTCAACATTCTATCCTTGAATTTATAAATACACAAAAGATATAGTGGATATATGACTTGTTGGTCTAGACCACACAGAGCAAGCTTGACTCCAGAGGCTGTCTCCATTCAGTTCCAAGGAGTGCAGGCTGGCGCTCAGGAGGCAGACGACAGCTCAAAGGAAGGTAGGGTCATGAGAACCATGACAACAGAGAAAGAAAGCAGACTCCAATGGTGCCCAGCACAATGGTAGCAAAAATGCAGGACACCAGAGAGCTGAAAGAAAATCCTGTTCTTCCTCAAAGAGATTATGCCTTTGAATAGATTCTGTACGTAACCTGAATTGAATCTAATAAAACAACCAACCCCCCCCCCCAAGGTTGAAAAGAGCTCTTTTGAAATGTAAATGAATAGATCTTGTTACCATAGGATGACTTTGTTAGGAAGATAATTTCCATAATGTTTAGAAAAAAAGAGAAGTACTAGGAGAGGAGGGTGAAGAAACTGGAAGAGGACCTTTAGAGGTGGGGGGAAGGGAGGGAAGGAGACAGGTCTTGCTATTTAGTACTGATTGGCCTGGAACTTGCCTTCTAGACCAAACAGGCCAAATGGGCCTCAAACAGGCAATCTTCCTGCCTCTGGCACCAGGTGCTGGGATTATGGGTTAGGAAGGATCTTAACAGGAGAAAAGGAAGCTGAAGCAAAGGAAGTAGAAATCTAGAGAGTGCCTGTGATAATCACAGCAGTGAAGGCCAGTCTGATGTCAGCTGCTACAAGTAAGATCCACTGCTGTCATTCATGGCTGTGACATGGGTAGTGGGTGAGGAGGATGGAGATGCTAGCCTTGTAGCCCTTGAAGATAGAGTGTTCCATCACCTGACAACAGACCCATCCGAAGAAGCTTCATTGGAAGTCCTGGGAGCTGAGGCAAGGTCTGAGACCAGACTTCAAATGGCTAGAGAGAGAATTCAATCCATAGCCTTTCTTCAGTATTGACATCTGAAACCTATTCTTGAGCAAGGGCTGTGCTGGGATCCTATGTTCAGAGGTATACTAAGCTGTGTTTAGTGATGTACACTTGTAATCTTAGTACCTGAGAGGCTGATGCAGGAGGATGGCCATGAATTTAAGGCCAGCTTGGGTTACAGAGTAAGACCTTGTCTCAAAAAACAAACATACAAAAACGTAATAAATAAAGGGTTTCTCTCGTGTCCTCATTTCTTCCCCTTTGAACAAAGTTCTCATCTCTTTACTAATTTCCTTCTTTTCTAACTCTGCATCTATCCCATCCTCAAGTGGTTGAATTTCAAGAGATTTCCATGCTTGCCTGTAACCTTCCCTTTCCCAGTTAAAAAAAAAAATTTTATTGAGCTTATTTTCATACAACAGTTTTCAATCAAATTTAGACCCCCTCCCCTATCCATACCTTCCCTATACACCCACCTGACCTCATGTATTCTTCCATACATGGTAAATCCTATCCAGTCAAGCATTTCTGGGAGCAATCAACAGCTATCCAGTTGGACTTGAAGTCTCCTCAACGGGAGTGAGCTCATGGGTGACAATGTAAACTCAGTCAAATACACACAGCAGAAGAGGACATAAATCCTAGAGAAAACCTATCTCTTTCATATCTCTAAATAAATGAAATTTCTTGCTGTATCCTAAATATCAAGTCTTAAATTTACAGACAAGCATACCCATACACCACTCATCAGAGAAGCTTCTTTTTGAAACAGATGGAGGCTATTGCAGACTTGAACATCTGGTCAGACACGTCTGAGAGATGCCCAGTACTAGGTAACACATCTACAGTTGAACCTCTACAGCTAAGGTTCATGGAACATAGCAGAACAAGGGGTAGAGAGAAAACGAATGCATTCCGTAACTCTCACCAGTAAAACTTCCTCTCCCAGTTTTTATTGTGGCAGGAGCATAGTGCAGAAGCTCAGCTTGAACCTCAAAACCATTGTGCAAGTACCTTTACTTCTCCAGCTTGTTTCCTCAACTATAAATTGCAAATAGAATTTTATCTTCTCCACAAGGTAAAAATATAATGCACATGAATATACTTAGCACAGCATGAAATCACACCAAACACCATACACTTCATACAAGTTGATCACTAGGTTACCTCTTCTTAATGTAGCTGTTTTAAACATTTTTAAAACAAAATATATGGATAAAACAAAATAAAAATGTTCATGTTCTTGCCATCCCAGCTGATAATTGTTTAACATGATCATGTTTATGTTGACTTAAAATTAGAGAGCTAGGCTGTTCACATGTATCGGAAGTAGCTTTTAACCCTGGGGAGTGGTTATACTGCTTTATCAGAAGCTGTTCACAAGCTGAGTGGCAGTATGTGGCGGTCTCATTGTAGTCCCACAAGGCATTACATTTCCCCGGCTCAACATGGTCTGGACACTTTGTATGAGTTAACTTTTTAAATTTACATAGATGTATAAATATGTTTTTCTTTAATATTGTTTTGAGGTTAATGCATGTTTAAATATAGGTTTAATTAACTTGATGGGATATTGCTCTATTTTCTACATTAGGACACATCTTAAGAGTGTTCTAATGATGTTTATAAAGATTGACTGTCAGGGGCTAGAGAAATGGTTCAGCGGTTAAGAGCACTGACTGTTCTTGCAGAGGACTGGGGTTCAGTTCCCAGCACCCACATGGTGACCAACAACTATCTGTAACTCCAGTTCCAGGAGATACAATGCTTTCTTCTGACTTCTGAGGGCATTGCACGACATGGGTGCACTTAAACACGTGCAGGCAATATACTCATATACATAAAAATAATAAATAAAATAGTTTTTAAAGAACACTGCCATTTTTTCTCACCATCTAATTATAAACCATTCTCTAATAAACATTCTTATGTATGATTCTTGAAGAGTAGGCATAAACATTTCTTGAGGATATATGCCTACAAGGGGAACTTTGGTATTGTAGGCACATACACATTTCTTTTCTTTTTAGATATTGTTAAACTATTACTATTAGAAAGGTACAAGAATTCTTTCTAACATCCCACTAATACTAGATATTACCACTGCCTAATTCTTGTCAGATGATTATCTTTTCATGTGTTTGATGGTGGTTCTGATTTTGTCTCTGTGACCTGCTTGTTCACTTACTTTTGCCTATCTTTGTCACTTTGCAACAGTTCATTCTTTGTGTCTAACATGTGCATGTAAGCTTTATTCATTGCTGTATATCCCTTTTCTAAGAAAATGCCCAGTGTAGAAAATAACTCCATAAATGACAACTGTTAGTCAGTTCTCACACCTACAACCCCTCTCTGAATCTCTAATACCCAAGCCTTAATTTAGATTCTACTTGGATGACACTATTTGATGTTAGCTGAGTCTCCACCGAGAATTAAGAACAAAAACCCTGGCTAATGACAGACATAAATTTTCATTGATAATTCTATTCATGAAAGATGGAAGCAAGAGGAAATGTGTTTCATCTAGAGTCACGCTACCAGTGAGGATCACAGCCAAGACAGAACTCAGGTCTTGTAGATCGAACCTTTATTACTGAGGTCATACAAAGCTCTTTGGGAAAAGAAAAATGCAAATGCCTGACTTACCTTGTAGCAGTTTTCTAGTGTGGTTTCCCATTTCAGTCTAGTAGAATAGCCTGCCATGTTTTTTTGGTAGTAATTTTCATCTTCTTTTTCCAGCTTTTCAGTGGACTTTTTCAGTTTATTGAGAAGCTAAGGTAAAATATCAGTGTCACAAATTCATTAACACATTTGCACTTGTAATTCCATAGAATTGTATGTGGCCAGGGACATGTTTCTTATTTTCAGCTCTTTATAAATAGTAATCATAGAAGACAAAACCGGAGATTATTTTTTAAAAAATTAATGGAAACCGTACAGAAACCTAATTTCCTTTCTATATACCCTCAATTTTATACTTGAATAAATCGAGGTATTAAATATGAAGGGACTTGTCCACATTCATCAAATCAAGAAGACCAAATGACAGTGCATTTGGCAATTTCCAATTCAGGTTCAGGAGGTCCAATTTAAGTTCTAATCTACTAATACATCCTAGAGTCTGATACAGTAAATCCCCAAGTTTCTCAATTTCTTGCCAGGACAGGTAGAATCAAATAATTTTTAGAATTCATTTTTATAGTAGGCTACCAACCTGTCTGCCATCCTAAAGCCAGAATCAGACCTCCCAGGATTAGAGGTCTTGTTCCAGCTAAAGGACAAATTATTTCATGAGCCACAGGTTTTTATTGTTATTTGTTTGTTTACATTTATGATGAGGATGATTGCTACTACTTTATTAGATTGACTGGAAGATACAATATGATAATACATGTGAGGTACATGGTAGCATGTACCTGGTACCTACTATAGCACTCAAAGATTAGTAACATTATTACTAGTGGAAAGCCCAAGATTCATGCCCATGTTCACTACAAGTTACAGACACATGGACAGATGGTTTACTTTCAGTTCCCTCTCCAGGGGTCCATCCCTCACAAAGAGTCCCCTTTGGCCAGCCATAAAATTTGTCATCCTGGTTGCTAAATCTTCTCGAAAATCAAGATAACAGAGACCACAGTCTCTGAAAGGGCTGATCAAAATGTCCAAACAAGTAATTTCAATATCTCTGAGAAAGAAGGATTTTGACTTCATGAATGATTCTCAACTTTAATATTCTTAGGAATTAGCTGGTGTTTATAAAATAGCAGCTTCCAGGGCCAGCAAGTAACAGTATTCATTCAATAGCCCTGGAGTAAGATTAGGAAATCTGAATTTTCACTAGGTCCTCAAATGATTCTCATGCAAGTGGTCCTCAAGCCACTCTTAAAGGACTATAGAGGACCCTTCTGATGCTTAGCAGTTTAGAAGTTTCAAAGATAGACACAAAGACTTTTAAGAATGTCCCTCTTCACATCTAAGGACATTCTGACTAATGTTACAATAATGGAAAACTTTCTTTCAAAATGCTGAATGTTAATACCATCCACTTTATTATTCCAAGTCACATGCTAGCTATTCAACTGTCCCTCGACTGTGATGTATGACCTACACAAGGCACATTTAGTTTTGTGTTTTGGAGTAATGAGCCATATCTCTCTGAAGAAACATGAGCTTGTGAATTTTAACTTGCTAACGATTGGAACACTGAAAGTGTCCAAAGAGAAGAGGATCAGGGACAAAAGAAGGTAATCAGAGATGAATATGATCAAAGTACATTATGTGCATGTACAAAATTGTCATTAAACCCATTATTTTATAAATTGATATATGTTAACAAAAAGGCATAAGAATGTCTCATCTATGGTTTGCTAAATTATTGCCACTGGATTCTTATTGAGAATGCTCACACCCCTGACAATGAGAACCAAATGGCTTCTGAGATCACCACTTGCTTTCATCTGACTGCTCTACAGTACTACTGGCCACAGGTTTTTGCCTAACAGTGTAGAACCCTGAGACCCTCTTCATTCACCCACTACCCCCCAATCCCTCCAGACCCCCA